AGCAGTGCTTTGAGTCCACCCTTCAGGGTTTCCTGAAGAAGCCATCTGCAGGTTTAGTTCCATCTCACTACTAGGGACCATGCTTCCGGCCTTCCTCCCTCTGGTCTCAGCAGCTTTGACCCCTCCCCAGCCAAAATGGATGCAGATACTCTTTTCCCAGCTGACCATACAGGTCTGGAGATGGGGTATGGAAGGAAACAGTTACAATATTAGCAGAGACAGTCTGGCTCCCAAGTCACACTCACCTGGTAAGGGGCAAAAACAAGGGGAGAAGGGAGGCTAGCCTGAGCTACAGTATGAAACCATATCGCAAAAAAAAAAAAACATAAAGAAGGTGCTGGAGAGCTGGCTCAGCAGTTAAGAGCACTAGTTGCTCTTGTAGAGGATCCAGGTTTGGTTCCCATATCCCTGGGCTCTTGACTATTCTTAGCATAGGGATGTGAGCCTTTCTTTTAAATTAATTAAAATTCATCATTGTTGTGTGTATTTTGTGTGTTTGGTGTATGTGCTCATGTATAGGTGGGTACCCACATCTATGAACACATTCAGAGATGCCAGAGGTGCCTTCCTCTAACACTTTCAGTCTTAATCCCTCAGACAGGGTCTGTCCTTTTGACTATGCTTGCTGGCCAGTGAGCTCCTGGGATCTGTCTGTCTCCACCCCCACAATACTAGGGTTCTAGGCAAATGCATCCATGTCTAGCATTTATAGGGTGGGGGTGGGGTTGTTGGAGAGATGACTGCTCTTGCAGAGGACAGGAGTTAGGTTCTCAGCACCCCTGTGGCAGGTAACTCCAGTTCCTTGAAATCCAATGTCCTCTTCTGGGCTCTGTGGGCATTGCATACACATGACACACTTACATGCAAGCAAAACACTCATTCATACACATAGAATAAAAATAAATAAATAAACAAATAAAAAAGAATGCTGGGGATTTGAATTCGAGTCTTCAGATTTAAATAGTAAGCACTCTTACGTACTGATCTATCTCACTAGCCCACCCCCCACTGTTTTTTGAGACAGGGTTTCATGTAGCCCAGACTGGTTTGGAACTCACCATGTGACTGAGGCGCTCCTTGAACTCCTGAAACTCCTGCTTCTACCTCCTGAGTACTGGGATTACAGCCATTCACCACCGTGCCAGGTCAGAACTGGGGAGTGATTCTATGGCACCTGCATCTGAAACTTAGGGTTCATGACTGAGTCAGGAGTATTTGACCACCTAGAATAAACAAGAGGCATCTTCCCAGCCTAGCAAGCACACCCAGCCTTTTGACATAGTAATATGACATCATCATTTACAAGGTTCTGTGCTTAATTATTGCACAGATCAATTACAAAAAGTAATCTCATTATGTTCTAAGTAAGTTTACAATTTTGTGTTGGGCTGCAGTCATAGATATATTGGGGTGCATACAGCTTATGGGCCAAGGGTTAGACACATCTGCAGGGTCATGTTCTTTGAAAGATCCTGCTGAAGTGTGGCAGAGTTAGGTAACAACAGTTGCTTTTTGTTTGCTTGTCTGTTCCTGAGACAGGCTCTCCCTGTGGCCCCAACTGACCTGGGACTTGCTTTGTAGTGAGGCTAGCCTCCATTTCACAGATACCCATCTATCCATCTGCTTCTGCCTCCCAAGGCTCTTGAAGCCACAGCTTAGTTGGGTCACTGCTTTAGACCTGCACAACCTTGGGGAGGGGGAGCTCCAATGCTGTTGTTTTTGTTTTGTGTTTCCTGGTGCTGGGAAGCAAACCTAGGACCTTGTGCCGGCTTTTCTTTTTCTTTCCTCCTCCTCCTCCCCTCCTCCTCTCCCTCCTCTTCCCTCTATCCCTCCTGTCCCCCCTCCTCCTGTCCCTCTCTTCTCTCTCCTTTCCCTCCTCGTCCTCCCCCTGCTCCTCCCTCTTCTTCAGAAATGAGCTGGGTGAGGGAGTGAGCGTGAAAGTGCCCAACCTGCCCCAGAAAGCTCAGGGATGATGAGCTGTAGCTAACAGATACAGAGAGACTGAGGCTGCTGCTCAGGACCACAGGGAGGGCACCTGAGCCCCAACAGGTGCCAGGGGAAAATTGACAGAGCCCCACTAAGGTGGCTGTCCCTTCACCTGGCAGATCAATGTGTATAAAACAATGACAGTTGTGGACAGTTTCCTATTGACAATGAGAAAAGTGAATCCTTTCAAACAGTGGATCAGATGCTTTCCCACAGTGAAGGGGGGAATCCAGTGTGGGATGCTGATGGCTCTCAGGACTGTTAGATCTGATATGGCCATTCAAGTGTGTTCTAACTTACAGTCTATACATCTGCATGTGCTGGGATTAAAAATGGAGGAAACCCAAACAATCCTCAAAGAGTGTGAGTGGCAGGAAGAGGCCAGCTCTGTGTAGAAGGGAGTGTCTCCATCGTCCAGTGAGTGGAATTCAAAACCAGTCTTCCCTAGGCAAGAAGAGGGGCAGGCGGGCTGGGCCAGGACAGCCCTGGCCCTCCCCTTCCCAGCCTTGAAAATGGCTTTCTTTGTTGAGAGAATGCACCCCGAGGTGAGCTGCCTCCACTCCTCACGGGGACCCAATGGGAAGGCGCCCAGGTAAATCCTTCCAGGTGCCCTGGCGTAATAAGATGTTCCATGTTAATTCCCTGACTCCCACACCAAATCAAAGCTTTGTCCAGGCTCTTTCACCTAGAAGAAAGAGATGAATTGAAAGCTGCCCTCAGAGGGGTCAGGCAAGCCCAGGTTTTGATTCCTGAGACACAAAACCATTTATTTGAGGGTTCATTTCATTATTTAGAGTCCTGTACGTATAACACGTTTCCATCCACATGAATAGCTACCAATTGTTGGAGCAGATTAATCTTTTACGAGCTTGTCAGCAGTGAGGTGAGATGATCAATGACAGGTGAAACAGGACGCTTTCCCCTCATATGAGCCCTCTGAGGACAGTCACCTCCCACACTGGCACTCCCTGTATCTAGCAACTGCCACCATTTTAAGTAGCTCCATTTGTATGGTGGCGCCAGCCGCCCCCTGCCACCTCTGTCCTGCTGAGGTAGTTCTCGGACCAGCCACCTGGGCGGGGCAGGCTGCCATTTTCAGTTTGGAAGGCAAAGCCTATCAATCTGCTTCCTGGGAAGACAGACATCACCGAATTGTCATTTGCCCCCGAATGCAGAAAACATCAATTTCATTGCAGCTCTGCAGAGTTGGCAACACCTGCCATTTCCTTTCTCAGTGGCAATTAGCATGCTGCATGTCGGCATTGATTGATTCCAAGCAGCCTGACGCTGCCAGCGCTGAGGTCTAAATGAAACAGGTCCAACCTGATGGGATTTTTCACAGTTTTAGCAACATGAACTTATTTTTATCGCCAGAGAAGCACAACAGTGATGATAGAGGAAAGTCCTCTTACTGGGGATAAACTTGACTAGAGTAGGGTGATGCTTATTATTTTTTTATTTTTATTTTTAATTATTTTATTTTATGCATATGCGTGTATTACCTGCATGTAGGTGAGTGCACCTGTGTCGTGCAATGCCCGTGGAGGGCAGAAGAGGCTGTCAGATCCCCTGGAACTGGAGTTATGGACAGTTGTTAGCTGCCATGTGGGTGCTGGGATATGAACCCAGGTTTTCTGCAAGAACAACCAGTGTTCTTAACCGCTAAGCCATCTCTCCAGCCCTGGTGCTTATTATTTTTAAAGAGCCCTTTATCCTTTCCTTTGGGGGCGATGGTTATTTCTTGATCTTTGTATCTCTTTGGGGATGGAGAGGGAGGTGAATCTCCTTTCTGTAGCCTAGCATCTAGCACAGGACTATAGACCCCCACAGATATTCAGAGAATGTTAAGTAAGTGGATCAGTAAATAAATGGCTGGGGAGAGCGGGCTTAAGAACAGTTCTCTTGGTTCAACATAAGTACGATTCTGAACTTATGACTGTGAAAAACTTGTGGGTTGATTTAGAAGCTGTGGGAGATGACCCAAGGCAGGAACCTCCCATCCCAGTCAGAGTCCTGAATCCTTTTCCCCTTGACTATGCCTTTTCACAATCCTGCTCATATTGCACAAAGAAACTGTCTTCAAGATGGACATTTTATATTCTAAGGGTCTAGACCATTATTGTAAGGAGTCAGGTCATGTTAAGTAGCTCAACAGCAACAATGTTCCTGTCTTTGGAGAATATCACTGAAATGGTCTTTGCACATTTGGTGATGCAGGAAGACAGCAGAAGTTGAAAGCTGTTAGGGATGAGGCTTGTGTTTTGAACTTAGCCAGATAAGTTTAAACCTTAATTCATAACAGCACACAGTTTGTGGGAAGTAGTGAACAAATGTCCTTTCTTATATTAACATAATAGAAGGACCAAGAATCATCCTCTTTGCCAGCTCTCTTAAGAAAATCATTTTTATTAGATGAAATATAATAAATTAAAGCAAGTACCAGTTCTTCTATACAATAACACCTAGGCACTATACACAAAAAAGGAATTCTTTGTCAAATACATGGAGGCATCAGACTGCAGTTTTCTCTAACTGGCAGGAAAGGTGGAACGTGAATACTTTCAAATGTTCTAGAAGGAAAACTGAAGTTATACATCTCTTTCTTAAAATGAGTCAGTGTATCTAATATCTTCTAAATGCCTGGTGGCTGAAAATACTATTTTGACGACCTCCATACATCTTTATTACTACACAAATTACTGCCTCGAACATCTTGGTCATTAAGTTGCTAATATCTTCGTTTTGAAAAGTCCTCTTTGAATGATAACACAGGACACATCAGGAAATCACATGATCCACACCCACTAAGTATACAAATAAGTAAAAATAGATAACCAGAAGTGGTATAGTTCTTTTAAGTAGGAAGAAAGAGAAGAAAAAAGAACAGCTCAGTGGTTAAGAGCACTGGCTGTTCTTGCAGAAGACCTGGATTTGAATCCTAGCACCCACATGGCAGCTAACAACCATCTACAGCTCCAGTTCCAGGGGATCTGATGTCCTCTTCTGTCCTCTGTGAGCACTGCATGACATGGGTGCACTTGCATACATGCATGCAATACATGCATACACATAAAGTAAAAATAAAGTGGAAAAAAAAAAAAAGCACAACTGTTGGTCCTGGGTTTGCCATGGAAGGACTGCTGTTAACTACCACCCAAAACATAGGCTGACAGCTTGTCCCTGGCCAGCTTGGTCCACACAGACAGCATACCGGATGGAAGCAGTTAATGGATCAACTTAGACTGAGAGAACTTTGGCTGCCAGTCAGAACCAACAGTTATAAAACACCTTTGTCTAACGACACTTAAATGCTAGAAGAAATGAGTGCAATGTATACTGAAGAGTTCCTCAACCTCTCTCATCACTAGTAGGTTAAATCTAAGAATTTCATCTAGGGAGAAGAGTCAAATGCTTTATGACAACATATCACCACTCTAAATCATGTCTTCTTTTGTCTCTGTATGCACTATCCAAATGCCCAACAAAGCCCGGTGTCTCAGCGTGTCCATTCCATCCAGCAGTTTTCCTTGTCTATTGAAAATGCCATAAAATAAAAACACTCGTGACCCAAATCGGAATTAGGTAATTTGAGTCACTGCCTTCAGTTCTACCTGGAAGTTAGAAGTGGTTTTATTTTGGGCCTAGGATGACACAGGTGACCGTGGAGAGCCCACCTCTCCTAGTACCATGCTGTGTTTGCTTTTAGAAGCAGTACCAACTCACCCATGTTTTATCAACAAGTGAAAATTTCCCTCTCTGTCATCACCAGCACTAACTCAAAAAGCACTTCAAAGTCATTCATTCCTAAAAGCACTTAGCATTATGATCCAAGGCTAGAGGCAGAACACTGTGGCTTCTCTAAGCCAGCAGGATTCAGTGAAAACCAAGGAGCCTGCTGGCATGAACTTAAAGTTTTTATTTCCTTTCTCTTTTTCAAAAAAAAATTAAATTAAGGCTCAAATGTTCTATTAAACTCTCATTGCTTATGTATATTATATTAAGGCTTATAAATATACCTGGTAAATTAAATTCACTCTGGATTGAATTAACACCCGCCATATGAGTTATTTGCTTTATGTAATCGGTAATCTCAAGGTTTCTCCACTTTCTCTGGAAACACAGTTTAAATATTAACCTAATCTTTAAACTGCTGTTGCTGCTTTTTGACATTTGGAAACTGGTCAACCATGCAAAAAAGACAAACATGGGTTATTAATGAAAAGGCAGCTCTTAAAAGTCTCAACACATGTAATTCAGTGAATGAGGGAGAAAAACCGCCAAAAAGGCAGCAGGGAATCAAGCCTCTGCCTAACTTTCCAGAGAAAACAATACTGGCCACCGGCCAGGAACACCTCCATTCCAAGAGCCCAGCACACTGGACTCCAATAGCCTTTGGTTTTTCATTTTTTCATTGCAGTCTCTGGAAAAATCTTGGGAAGCTGCATGCAGCAGATGTAAGAGCTACGAAGGTGTTCGGTTTTTGAGACAGTATCTCATTGTGTAGTCCAGGCTGGCCTGGAACTCACGGCAATCCTCCTGTCTCAGCTTCCTCTGAAGTGCTGGGATTACAGGTGTGAAATACCACACCTGGCTCATATGAGAGATGTTTAATTTTAAAAAGAAGAAAAAGCAGCTTCTAAATTCAGCACCTGGGTGAGAAAGATTGGCAGCTCCTGCTCCTGGCTTGCTGGCTTCTGAGAGGGAAGAGCACCTTACGTCCTGCTGAGCTGACAGCCACTGGAGAGAACAAAGTTTTCAAAGTGCTGGTCTTCCATCTTTTCTTTGACTCGTTGCTCCTCCAAGGAGTCCACCAGTTTGTTTCTTTGTTCAATCACATGCATCATCTCCTTGAGTATTTCTTGCTCCTCTGTTAGATCATTTTCATCTTTCTGGCTCTCTGAATTAAAAAAAAAAAAAAACCAACAACAAATCAAAACAAAAAACAGATCTCAGGTAAGATTGGGTCCAGAGACGTTCTTGGCGCAGGACTTTACAACTGTTCTCTGTTTGTCCTGCTCTAGGACTTTAAGGAAAGTAATCTAGCACCAAGAAACTGCTGGTAAAGACACAGAGGAGAAAGGTGGGTGCTTTGTGCAGGAACTGACTCATTTCATCTTGAGAACTGTGTGCAGTGGGGAGGAGGCATCTGTGAGGAACTTTAATACAGCGACACCCCATGGAGCCCCCTCGTCCTTCCAAGGAAGAAACCAATCAAACAAGAGAAGGCTGTTTTCCTAAGCACATTTGAGCCATGCAAGGCGAACTGAGGGAAGGTTCCAAATAAACTGCCTGTATCAGCTGCCCCTACCTCAATGACACGAACACTTCTGTCATTTGTAATGACAATTTGTACCTTTTTGCTTTTTAAAAAATAAATATTTTTTATTTTATTATCCCAAGGCTACACAGTGAGACCCTATCTCAAAACAAAACAAAACAATAAATATTTATTATTTGTGTGTGTTCCAGCTGCCCCTACCTCAATGACACGAACACTTCTGTCATTTGTAATGACAATTTGTACCTTTTTGCTTTTTAAAAAATAAATATTTTTTATTTTATTATTCCAAGGCTACACAGTGAGACCCTATCTCAAAACAAAACAATAAATATTTATTATTTATTTGTGTGTGTTCCTGTTCACACGTGACGGTGCACAGGTGTTACAGCATGTGTAGAGGTCAAAAGACAACTTTTGGAAGTACACAGTGAGACCCTATCTCAAAACAAAACAAAACAATAAATATTTATTATTTGTGTGTGTTCCTGTTCACACATGACGGTGCACAGGTGTTACAGCATGTGTAGAGGTCAAAAGACAACTTTTAGAAATTGGTTCTCACCGTCTACCTTGCTTGAGGTAGGGTCTCTCTAGTTTTTTACTGCCCTGTACATTGCAGCCCAGCTGACTCACAAGCTGCCAGAAGGTTCTCCCATCTCTACCTCCCACCTTACCATAGGTGTGCTGGCATCATAGACACACACCACCACATCTGTCTTTTACATGGCTTCTGGGGATATGAACACAGGTTATCGGGCTTCATACATGGCAAGTGCTTTTACCCACTGAGTCATCTCTATAGTCCCCTTTCTTGTATGCGTGCGCATGTACATGTACATGTTTGTGCATACATGTATTTACAGATGTGTGTACGTGCATATGGAGGCCAGAGGTCAACAGATATCAGGTGTCTTCCCTTAATTGCTTTCTACCTTATTTTTTGAGGCAGAGTTTCTTCCTCAGCCCAGAGCTTACCTACTGGGCTAGGCTGGTTGGCCAGGGATCTTCTTGTCTCTACCTCCCCAGTGCTGGGATTATAGGTGTATACTGTCGCACCCAGGTTTTTCTATGTGGGTTCTCAGGGGTTGAACTCAGATCCTCATGCTTGTACAGCAAGCACTTTATGACGGAGCCACCTCCCCAGCCCCTGCCTTTTGTATTGGCTCCAAAGCACACCATTAGGAGACTGACCAGGCTACAGGTGACACCAGTAACAGGGCTTCCCTGTAAGAACTTTATGACGGAGCCACCTCCCCAGCCCCTGCCTTTTGTATTGGCTCCAAAGGACACCATTAGGAGACTGACCAGGCTACAGGTGACACCAGCAACGGGGCTTCCCTGCAAGAGTGGCCTGGAACTCACTATGTAGACCAGGCTGGCCTGAATCTCACAGAGATCTACCTGTCTCTGCCTCCCGAGTGCTGGAACTAGACTTGTGCGGAGGAACTAAACTTGTGCCACTACACCCCGACTTACATTGGTGTCTGTCTGTCTGTCTGTCTACTTAGCTAGTCCGTCCGTCCATCTATCTATCTAATGTAATCTACCTTGGTCTTGTTGATACTGGGTCTACCTGTAGCCCCAGCTGATGTGAAACTCATAGTGTAGATCAGACTAGCCTCACTATTGCTATAGCACAGATCCCCCTGCCCCTTCCTCCCTAGTCCTGGGACTAAAGACCTGCGCCATCATGCCTGCCTTACATTGATTTTTTTTTCCGTCTTTTTGAGACAGGGTCTTCTTGTAGCCCCAGCTGTCCTGGAACGTACTATGTAGACCAGGCTGGCCTTGAACTCACAGAGATCCGCCTGCCTCTGCCTCCCGAGTGCTGGGATTAAAGGTGTGCGCCACCACACCTGGCCCTTCTCATCTTAGTAAGAATTTTAGAAAATTATAATTATAGTCTTTGATGGTATTTACTATCCTACAACAAAAAATTTACATTTTTATCAGATGTCCAAATAGAGTACAAAGCAGGCCAGATACTATAGCCTGTTCATGGAGGGGTATTTTAGTGTTTCCAAAAAGTTTTTTAAAAATCTGGGGCTAGCATGATGGCTTAGTGGGAAAAGGCACTTGCCACCAAGCCTGATGACCTGAGTTTCATCCCTGGGCCCCACAGGGTAGAAGGAGAGAACTGATTCCCATAAGCTGTCCTCAGACCTCCACATACATGATTTGGCTTTCTAACTTGTAAAATGGCACTACAATACTTAACCAAAAATGAAGATGATGTATAATATAAAGAGTATGTGCTCCATGGGACTGGAGAGATGACTCAGCAGTTAAGAGCACTGGCTGTTCTTGCAGAAGACCTAGGTTTGATTTGCAGCACCCACATGGCAGCTAACAACCATTCATAACTTCAGTTCCAGGGGATCCGACACCCTCTTCTGACCTCCTCGTGCGTTGCATGATATGGGTGCACTTCCATACATGCAGGCAATATACTCATACATATAAAATAAAAATAAAAAATAAAATATTAAAAATGCAAAAAGAGTATGTGCTCTATATCAGGAAACCCAGTAAGGCCAGAGCAACGCTGGTTCTATGAGATCTACAAGCATCATTTAACTGTAAGATGTAACGGAAAGAAGATCATCATGGACCTGACCCACAGACCAGGCACATAAAACACAGTGACTGCCCTTCTGCCTGCAGGCACTGATTTCATAAACCAGCATATCATGTCAGTTGACTTTGTTCCCTCTTTCCCCTTCATGATGGGATGATTATATCTCATGCTCAAAGCCCTGGCCCAGCCCCAACTAGTGCTGGTAGGAATGCTCCATTAACACTTCTAGTGTTCAGCAGTCAGGCCTGCCTTCCTCCATGCTCCCCAAACAACTGTTCCCATCTTCTCTACACAGTGATGGCGCTTTGGGTGTTGGTCTCCCCAGTGGGATCACAAACTCCTGTAGGAGAGGGGTTGACTTTTGCCATGTGTCAGGCCCACATTAGCTTTTCAAGAAATGTCTGCTAAGTGAATGGTTGGCTTTATTCTAGCAGGGCACGGTGGTGCATGCCTGGAATCCTAGCAGTTGGGAGGCTGAGCAGCATGGTTTGAATGTGTAATGTCCCCTACAGGCTCAAGTGTTTCAACACTTGGTCCACAGCTGGTGGCAATGTCTTGGGAGATTATGGAAGCTGTGGGATGTGGGGCCTCACTGGAGGTGGGTCACTGGAAAGGAAGGGTAGTTTATGGTCCTGCCCTGCTTTCTGTCTCTCCTCTTGGTCTGCTGAGTATGAGCAGGCATGTGCCTCATGCTCCTTCTTCCACAGAGCCACGTGTTGCCATGCCTTGATGGACTGTGTCCCCCAAACGAAGAGCCCAAAGCTGACCTCTCCTCCCTTAAGCTGCTGTTTGTCAGGATTGGTCACAGTGATGAGTAACTAAACTTTTGGTTACTCATATACTCAGTCAGGAGGATTGAAAGTTCAAGGTCAGCTTGGGTTACACAACAAGGCTCTGCCTCAATAAAAAGGAGTGCAAAAATAAGAATAAAGTTGTGTTCCTAATGACACATACGACGGAGGAATGCGGCCCTCACAAGTGAATGACGGTAACTGGGGATTTGCTGGGTTTCTGATGTGTACAAGGGACAGGCTGGCTTTGGGCTTTCCTCTGATTCTCAGGCCACGGGAGCAGAAAAGACTCTACTCTGGGATCTGCAACAAGCCTTGCTCAAGTGTCCTGGGGAAAAATGTCTTCAACAGGGACCCCAAATGTGTTGCCACACTCACCGTCCTTGGACATTTTCTCTCTTAATTTCTGCTCCAGTCTGCTCTGATGATCTTCTAGCTCTAGTTCTTGGGCCCTAGAATGAGAAACGTTCACACTATAAACACAGGGAAGGTAAGTGTGGAGACCCCATCGATGGATACACCCAGGGATAGTACCTCACACACTACTTTTTCCTTATTAAAACTGGCATCTTTGCTGGGTGCGGTGGCATATGCCTTTAACCCCAGAACTTGGGAGACAGAGGTTGGTGGATCTCTGTGAGTTCAAGGCCAGCCAGGACCACATAGTGAGACCCTATCTAAAAAAATATGAAACCAAACAACAGAAACAATAAAAAATCTAGAGTCTTTAAATATCTCTAAGCAGAAGGTGTTGCTGGTGTTGGAATCACTAGAGGTGCCTACAAAGACTGTTGAAATGTGCTGGACTTGAGACACGATGGTACGACTGGAGGGTGTGATGCAAGCCATCAAACCTCTCTTTAGGGGCAGACCAGAGGTAGGAAGGATAGAAGAACTGGGCCCTGGAGTAATGACCAGATGAAACTGGTCTTTGAGGTTGTGCTGGTTAGTTTTTATTAACTTGACCCAAAGCTAGACATACTCGGGGAGAGGAAAAATCAATTAAGGAATTACTGCCATCATACTGGCCTACCTACACTTTGCTTACCTCGTCATTTCCATTATTATTATTATTACTATTATTGCTGTTTATTTTGTTTCTTTTTGAGACAGGTTTTCACATAGCCCAGGCTAGACTTGCTATGTTGCCAAGGATGACCTTGAATTTCTGATCGTCCTGCCTCCAAGCTCCTGAATGCTGGTGTCACAAGTGTGTATCACCACACCCCATTTAATGTGGTACTGGGGACTGAACCCAGGGCTTCATGCACATTAGGCAAGTACTCTACCAACTGACCTATATCCCTAGCCTGCCACTGTTTTCACTACCTCTAAAACTGGGCCAAAGTCCTGCCTCATGGCTGACACTGAACTTCTCTGGGCCCTCAATGAAAGCCTGTGGAGGTGTGGGGCTCAGATCTCAGAAGTTTTTCGGCAGAGCCTAGTGAGCTGGAGGTTGTGACGGGATCTGCTTCAAGGTCATGCTGAAGTCCTGCCGTGCCCAGATGACACTAGTCACTGGCTGAGTCCAGCGAAGGAGTGAAAGCTGAGCATCTTGCCTAGTGTGGAACTCCTCTGATGGGTTACCTCTGCTCTGATGCTCCCAAGGCCTGGCTGAGACTCAGAGCTGTACCACATCTGGGTCTCCTGCCCAAGTCTCCTTCCTTTCTCCTCCGCCTTTACAGGACTCAGAGCTACAGTGGGGGCCCAAGACGCCCCTCCATCCCCATCTTCTTCTTCTTCTTCTTGTTTTTTTTTTTTTATCATTCACAGGTGCTTCCCCCAAGGAATCTCTTGTGCTTATTTATCTTCTGTCTTAGCTTTGCATCCCAAAGGGCCTGACCTGACATGTCAATCTGAGATACTTTTCCTTGTTCATCCAGGTTTTTCTCTAATTAAAATCTACTCTCCAACCTGCTTCTGTCTGTCTAGTTCATACACCCCAGCTGTCCTAGTTGATTTCTTTTTGGGGCGAAAAGTCCTTGGCCAATGCACTGTCTAGGGAAGCTGCTGACTCTGGGCAACGGCAGCAGAGGGCTTCCCCTGCCTCTTCCAGACATATACCATGCTCTTCAGACCTTTCATGGAATCCCTAACAGGCTTTCTTATTGTTCCACGTGTTCATCTATCTGCCCGAAAACCATAAGACCACAGAAGATAGGGACTGTGGCATTTATTTATGTGTTTTAGAGCCAGGATCTTGCTGTGTAGCTCAGGCTGACCTTGAACCTCTGATCCCTCTGCCTCCACCTCTGTGGTGCTGGGATTCTAGGCTTGTACTACCAGGTCTGACTATGGCTTTACTTTATATTTCTATAGAATCTGGCTGAATTTCTGGCACAGAGAATATGGTCTTTATAAATTTACGTTGAAAAGACATTATAGTTCAGACCTGGCCCCAGTGCAGACAATATGACTGCATATAAGGGTTTTGCAGTCGGGCAGATATGGACTCATCACTTAATTCCTCTGCATTTCTCTGTGTGCATCAACTTAAAAAAATAGTCAGGAAACAAATGATCACCAGAAAGGACCCCTTCTCTCCCTTCCCGCCCTTCCCTGTGATGGAGCTTGGTGAGTGTAACTCCTGGCTGCCTCCACTGACGGACGTGTCCTCACTCTCAGGTAACAGACTAGCTGCGTTCAGCTCACTTCTCTCTTCCTGGGGGTCAGCCTGTCTTCAGCAAGCATGTGTTCTCAATCACTCCGAGCTTTGCCGTGGAACTTTTAAGGCTCCTCAATGCTGACACTGTTGACCCTTCAGGCTGGGAGGAGGGGCTGCCCTGTGCTTTGTAGAGAGTTTAACATCCTTGGTCTGTATTCAGTAGCTCTCAGTAGCAACCCCCAGGTATGAAAACCAAGCACATTTTCCTGGCCATTGCCAAATGTCCTCTGGGGATATCATTCACACCGAGGCCTGGAATCTGGAATAAGTCTCCCCCTCCGGATGAAGTGAATCCTCTTCCTTTTGCAATGAAGTAGTTAACATCTAATTCTGGTTAGTGTAATGGGTTGATTGAGAACCCCCCCCCTCATCCTAATGCCTGCAAACTGGGAATGGGATGTTACTTTAAAAGGGTCTTTGAAGACAGTTAGGGACTGTGAGATGGCTACATTTTAGATTATCCCAGGAGCCCCAAGCCTAATGACAAGACCTTCTAAGAGAAGAAGAGACAGAGAAGGAAGGCTAGAGTGACACAGCCACAGCTGAGGGACACCTGGAGTCATAAAAAGTGGGAAGAGGCAAGCAAGGATCCCCCTACCCCCCGCAGCTCTCTGAACATCTACACGTGGAGCTCTGTTCTTGTAAGCCCCACTTGGTAGTCATTTGTCTGAACCCTAGGAAACTAACGAAGGTAGCAAGCCCACCTGTGTTCTCATCCTTAGCCATTACTCATTATTAATAATGTTGGTGATATTCTGAATTCCATCTATTTCTCACATATTCAGCACCCAGGCAGGGAAGAGTGGTCAAATTTACTGGGCCCCCCACATGACCTCTCAGAGTGGGGGTGAAAATGAAAAAGATAGCATAAATGAAACTTCTCAGCCTCATTTCTAGAGCTTAGCATTACTTTCTTCAGAATGGTGACAGGTACAGTGCCCTCTGCCTGTTTCAGAAGTTTATGGAAGACTACATGTCTACTTTTTGACTTCCCAAAGGCTTGCCATCCCATATTTAGAAAAAGACAAACAGCTCTCAGGCACACAGAGTTCAGCCTTTCTTCCCTTAAAGCCACCAGGAAGAGACCGAACACACTTTCCATGATTCACACGTGGGGAGCTAGACACAGCTTTCCCAAGGATGGTGTGTGATTGTTCTTTAACTTGTGCCTGGGGGCCAGGAATGGGCCAGCTGCCCTCCCACTCCCTGGACCTGCTACCTGAAATCTATTTCAGCTATAGGACTCTGCAGAGAGAACAGACTGCTAAAGATTCTTCCCACTAATGCAGACATGATATGCAAGACACAAAGTACCAATTTTCCCCAATCATTGTTCCGTATGCACAAAGAGGAAAGATCCTGGGACTCCAGCCAAGGACGGTGAGCCACCCCTCCCGCCATGGGGCTGTTAGCACTCACTGTTATCTGTGTTGCTTTACTTACATGATCAGTAGCTCTGACTCATATCGCATTAATTTATTCTTCTCCAGGACTAGCTTAAACCATTCCTGCAAGAGCTCGGCTTCGCCCTGTGTCCCTGAATCTGCTTAAGAAATCAATGGCAAATGGGTTAGATTGGCGTTTCTCTCCCCAAGATCAAAGTGCTTCTGAGCCACTAGCGGGGCATGTTTGTGGCCAGCGGGGCTCTGCGGGAAGCAGTTCCTGGCACCCTGTGGATGCCTGAAGGCATCATAAATGAAACCCACCTGTGTCTCCTCTGGGGGAGGTCTTCTTGGGCATTGGAGGACATGACTACTTCAACTCCAAGGTCACATGCCCGTGATAACATCCTACTGCAAAGAATTGGTCTCCTGCCTACCTGTCTGTCCTCCATAAAACTGATTATATTTCTGTATCCCAGCCTCTGCTGGAGAAGTCCTGGCAGCTGGTGACTATCTTTCTCATCACCTCACCTCAATCTAATGCATACCGAGTGCGCTCATGGTATGTCATCCCTTCACTGACAAGGGACACCACATTGGGTCATATGATGATTGACTGGCATTTTCGATTTTGTCTTTTCCCAGTGAAAACCCAAATGATGAAAAAGTGCCATTAGGATCGAGTCTCTTGGCACATGACTACTTCAACTCCAAGGTCACATGCCCATGATTACATCCTACTGCAAAGAATTGGTCTCCTGCCTACCTGTCTGTCCTAATCTTTATCTTAATCTAATTCAAGATTTATGTGCATCTTGTTAGTTTGGTTTATACAATAAACTGGAATATGTTACATACCACAAGAAATCTGGAAAGTAAGGTACAGCATTTACTAAACACTATGGTCAGATAATCTTTTTCCTTAGAAGGAATCAAATCATACTGTAGTAAGAAAAAGCCTCTGGAAATACAAAGGAAGCGAGGAGACCTTTTACTCTTTTTCATATGATTCAGGGTCACTGAAGTCTTTTTTTTTTTAACTTTTACAAAAACTTTGTTGAGATACATGCATATAAGGTGTTTTGATCAAATCTATGCCCACTCCCTCCCTTCCAACCCCTCCCATATCTCTTCATCACTTTTTTCTCTTTCTTTTTTTCCCTTCTTTCATTTATTTATTTTTATGGGGCTTTTGGCTACTCTAACATCACCCACCCAAAGAGGTAACCCTAAAATCTTTTAAGGATTAGATACAAGCTCCCAAATACTTTTGACATTTTTGGCCTTGGAGCAGAGTATATTGCTAACAGGCCCAAGGACATTTTTACTTTTATCCCAGAAACTGGCTACATTTCTTTGGGGTCTTTTTACCCTAACTGCCTAGCCAATTCCTACCTCCTATTCTTATCATGCCATCCTCTGAAGGGGTTACCCAAATTGCCAATAGGGAATAGGGGCGCAGACCGTTCCATGCTGAACAGGGATGCAGGGTGAGGCAATTGGAGTACCCGCTGAAGTCTTTTTAACAGCCCTGGTCACTGGGACTTATATTCACTCACAAAGGAATTCTGTTTTTTCTATAATACTGATGATGGAGTTGTGCCTCATGTTTGACTTATGTAATTAATCCTTTTCTTAACCTAATTCAAAACATCACATGCATCTCATTAAATACCATCTTGTTAAACTGAGTGTGCCCAGCGCTTGGGAGGTTAAGGCAAGAAGCTCACCGCGAGTTCAAAGCCAGCATGGGCTACAAAGTAAGTTCCAGGTCAGCCTGGACTACACAGTAAGGCCCTGTCCTTAAAAACTAACAACTGGGGTTGGGGAGATGGCTCAGTGGTTAAGAGCACTGGCTGTTCTCACAGAGGACCTGGTGGTTCAGGTCTCAGCACCCACATGGCAGCTAACAATCTATAACATCAGTTCCAAGGGATCTGATACCCTCTTCTGACCTCCTTGGGCATTGTACAACATGGGTGCACTTACATATTTGCAAGCAAAACACTCAAACACATAAAATAAAAATAAATCAAAATTAAAAAAAAAAAACTAGCAACTAACCAATTAACTGCCTGTCATCTTGTTTATTTTGCTTTATTATAGGGAAATCTTTTGACTATTTTATCTAACTGAAACATTTCTGTTTTCTTTTTACTTTAGTGTATGTGGGTACATCTCTGTGTGAGTCTATGCACATGAGTGTAGGTGCCCATGGAAACCAGAAGAGGATGTCAGATCCCCTGGATCTGGAGTTACAGGCAGCTATGAACCACTCAATGTGGATCCTAGGAATGAATTTGTGTCTTCTCTCAGAGCAATACTTGCTCTTAACCACTGAGCCATCTCTCCATCCCCCTGCACATGTCTTTAGACTAGGATTTCTGCAGAATTAAAAAAATGGATATCCTATATCTTCATGTGACATTGACAACCTTAATGGAACCAGGAGCAGATAATTCTGAGCCATCTTCAGGACCTTTCCTAGCCTTGGCTGGGCTGATCTGAACATACCAATACTGGTATCAGGCAGTCCACAGACTGTCGCTTGTCCATGATGCTGCCACAGGAAACTGAGAAGAAAATAATGTCCAAAAATCGAGCTGCATAACATCTACCATATTCACCTGCATGACCAAACTTGAAACTCTACCCAGAACAAGAAGTAACATGTTCTTCACAACTTTTCCGTAAGCACCAATGGTACCTAGGAACCTCTACATTTCCTCCCAAAGGTTTGCTATTTCTTTAGCACTGTTTTCTAGAAGTTTGACAAGGGATCACACACCATGTTTCTTTACCATCTGAAAAGTGAGAAAACCTCTAATCTTTGAGCCTTGGAATTCTCTATGAGTTTCTGAGCACTGAAGTCACAATTGCAAGTTACGTCAATGGCAGGGACTTATTTTATTTTGTATGACCGAGTCTGGTGAAACAATATCACCTTCAAGACCCTCTCTGTGTACCATCTTTCACCTAAGCTCGAGTCTAAATTCCCAGTCCTCCCATTTTATCATCTATCCAGATTCCATTTCATCTTCTAGATATTTGTTTAATGTTTCTAGATTGAGGACTGGTTTCTATGTTAGAGAAAACAGAAACGCTGAGAGTTGAAAATTCTGTCTTTCCTCTTTTTGTAACATTGTACCATCTGCTACGAGTCCTGGGCTTTTCCTTTCCTTGCTCCCAGTCCAAAAGAAACAACTTTAAAGATAATTTTTTTTTAGAGATAATTTTTTTGCTGTTGTTTTTTTTTTTCAAATTCAACCTCTTTGCTGCATCCTACCTACAGAATCTAGCTAGTTTTTTAACTGGATGATGTGCCCCCACCTCTGTCATGTATCCTTCTAAAACTTTAGCCCATGGCACAGACTTCCATTGACACGTGCTGAACAAACACAAAATGAATTGAATTGCTTAATTTCCTTCTATCAGTGGAATAATTGAGTAATTTTATTGACTTCAGTTTGGTTTTTAAAATATTTTTATTTATTTTTATTTTATGTGTATGAGTGTTTTGCCTACATGTATGTAAGTGCACCAGGTGCATGCATGCAATACCCAAAGAGCCCAGAAGAGGGTATTGGATCCCCTAGAACCCGAGTAACGGATGGTTGTTAACCTCCATGTGGGTTCTGGGAATCGAACCCAGGTCCTCTGTAAGAACAGCAGTGTTCTTAATCTCTGAGCCATCTCTCTAGCCCCTTCAGTTCTTTTTTTTATAGCCTTCCGTTTTTTTTTAACAAACAAAGTCACTTTGGGGGGGCTCTTTGGACATAGATTCTTATATAAGTTTCCAGGTATAGTTTGGATGTAAAATGTCCCTCATAGGCTTATATAGTTGCACACTTGGTCCCTTCCTGTCTTGAGAGGTTGTAGAACCTTCGGAGTGGTGCCTAGATGGAGAAAGTGGGTCACTTGGGGCTTGGCTTGAAGTTTATAGCCCAGCTTATTTCTGTTCTCCTCCGTGTGATCCTGGAGATGTGAACGACTATGGAGTTGCCCAGTGCCATCTCCACTGCAATGGACTGTGTTCCCCCAAACTAGGAGCCAAAATAAATCCTTCCTTCCTTAAGTTGCTTCTTGTAAGGTATTTGGTCATGGCAACGAGAGGTGTGTGGTTTGTGCTATGTCCCCCATAGGCTCACATGTTTGAACACTTGGTCTTCACTGTTGGTGCTGTTTAAGAAGGTTGTGGAACTTTAGGAGGTGGAGCCTCACTGAAGAAAGTGGGCCACAGGGTGGTGTCCCAAGGCTCTATAGCCTGGCTCCACTTCCTGTTCCCTCTTTGCTTCCTTAGTACATGTGCAACGTGACCAACTGGCTTCCTGCTCCCACTCCCATGCCTTCCCCACCTTGATAGACTGTATCCCTTTGGAATTTTAAGTCAAAATAAACCTTCTCCCTTAAGTTATTTGTGTCATGATATGTATCACAGCAACAGAAATGTAACTAAGACACCAGGGAACTTGCCTTCTCAAAGTTTTGAGTACAGGGAACCTTGGTCAACATTCTAACAGCACACTGGGTTATCTCCCCACCATTTCCACTAACTATCACATTCTGCCCTTGTGGGTCCTGTGAAGTCTAGAAAGCATCACCTCCCTCTGTAGATGTGGGAGAGTGGACAAATCGTGGGCTTTCAGATCAGTCAAGCCTGTAACATTCTGCAAGTTAACCTCATGCTTGTCCGTCCCGTCTCCCCCATGTTTGGAAATGAGGATGCTGACAGTCCTGCCTCTTACAGTGCATAGGGATGTTAATGAGATAATGCATGGGAAATGCTCGGCACAGTGCTTGGCATATAGTAAACCTCCAGTCACTGTCCTTTGTGATGTACTCCTCTCTCATTTCATCCCATGTCTAGCTGTATAGTTTCATGAGGATTATGAACCTTTAAAACCCAGCTAGGTGGTGACCCCTGACTTGATGATACGTGGCTATCCTTGGTCTTGTAAGTCTTGTAACAACTTGAGGTTAACAAAAGTGTTACTAATTCTGCTCCTCTCATGAAAATGCCCATGGCAGGGAGGATCAGTGGCAGCTCTTGGGAAGATGTGAGTGTGTGGTGCCATGCAGCTTCTTTGCTTTCTCATATCTCCCATTGGCTGCTGCTGTTACACTCAAAGCTCTTCTGGGCAGGACCAGGCTTCAGTGAGAG